CACACATAAGGCATGCGTGCGTGCTTCTGTGTGCGTCGGGATTATAAGTTACATTATAAGTAAGGATCAGTCTCTATCTAGGACATGGAGTTGCCTTCTTTTCAGGAATAAAAAGGAGAGACCATTTTTGAAGCTGATATTACATTTTCCGAAGATAGACACACACATATACCGACGCACACAGAAACATGCACGCATGCCTTACATATTCACACTGAGAAATGAAACGTCAGATGAATGAAAGTATCTATGTGAATCAGTTTGTAATGACTGACGTTGACGACTTTTCTTGGCTGCCTGCACAAGTCAGAGTAGCCTAAAATATGTCAGAGTCTCTGTAATCGACATGCCGCTGACAGTTTTACAGTTTCCCAGACGCGGCAGTGAGATATAAGTGGAAATTGACAGAGATCATAGCAGGATATCTGGTATGACGTATGTAAAATATCAATCTCCGCAGAATTACTGGGCCACTCAGGCAAATTATTTTCCATACATACATTTCTCTAATAGTTCTTCATAAGATCAGTCTTACAAAACCGATATTGAAATACATTATAAATTGCAATGATGTGCAGTCATACATTGCAAAATAATATTGAAAGCCTCTTGATGTATTCAGCACTCTACAGGTTACATTACAGTAGAGGGAGGTACAGTAAGTGCAGTAGGGATACAGTGTATGTATATTTTATTTATATAGCGCTAACAGGTGTACTCAGCACTTTACAGGTTACATTACAGTAGAGGGAGGTATAGTCAGTGCAGTAGGTATACAGTGTATGTATATTTTATTTATATAGCGCTAGCAGGTGTACTCAGCACGTTACAGGTTACCTTACAGTAGAGGGAGGCACAGTAAGTGCAGTAGGTATACAGTGTATGTATATTATATTTATATAGCGCTAACAGGTGTACTCAGCACGTTACATATTACATTACAGTAGAGGGAGGTAAAATAAGTGCAGTAGGTATACAGTGTATGTATATTATATTTATATAGTGCTAACAGGTGTACTCAGCTCTTTACAGGTTACATTACAGTAGAGGGAGGTATAGTCAGTGCAGTAGGTATACAGTGTATGTATATTTTATTTATATAGCGCTAGCAGGTGTACTCAGCACGTTACAGGTTACATTACAGTAGAGGGAGGCACAGTAAGTGCAGTAGGTATACAGTGTATGTATATTTTATTTATATAGCGCTAACAGGTGTACTCAGCACTTTACAGGTTACATTACAGTAGAGGGAGTTACAGTAAGTTCAGTAGGTATACAGTGTATGTATATTTTATTTATATAGCGCTAACAGGTGTACTCAGCACTTTACAGGTTACATTGCAGTAGAGGGAGGTACAGTAAGTGCAGTAGGTGTACAGTGTATGTATATTTTATTTATATGGCACTAACAGGTGTACTCAGCACGTTACAGGTTACATTACAGTAGAGCGAGATACAGTAAGTGCAGTGGGTATACAGTGTATGTATATTATATTTATATAGCGCTAACAGGTGTACTCAGCACTTTACAGGTTACATTACAGTAGAGGGAGGTACAGTAAGTGCAGTAGGTATACAGTGTATGTATATTTTATTTTATAGCACTAACAGGTGTACTCAGCACTTTACAGGTTACATTACAGTAGATGGAGGTACAGTAAGTGCAGTAGGTGTACAGTGTATGTATATTATATTTATATAGCACTAACAGGCGTACACAGCACCTTACAGGTTACATTACAGTAGAGGGAGATACAGTAAGTGCAGTAAGTGCAGTAGGTATAACAGGTGTACTCAGCACTTTACAGGTTACATTACAGTAGAGGGAGATACTGCAAGTGCAGTAGGTATACAGTGTATGTATATTATATTTATATAGCACTAACAGGTGTACTCAGCACTTTACAGGTTACATTACAGTAGAGGGAGGTACAGTAAGTGCAGTGGGTATACAGTGTATGTATATTTTATTTATATAGCGCTAACAGGTGTACTCAGCACTTTACAGGTTACATTACAGTAGAGGGAGGTACAGTAAGTGCAGTAGGTATACAGTGTATGTACATTTTATTTATATAGCGCTAACAGGTGTACTCAGCACTTTACAGGTTACATTACAGTAGAGGGAGGTCCAGTAAGTGCTGTAGGTATACAGTGTATGTATATTTTACTTATATAGCGCTAACAGGTGTACTCAGCACTTTACAGGTTACATTACAGTAGAGGGAGGTACAGTAAGTGCAGTAGGTATACATTGTATGTATATTTTATTTATATAGCGCTAACAGGTGTACTCAGCACTTTACAGGTTACATTACAGTAGAGGGAGGTACAGTAAGTGCAGTAGGTATACAGTGTATGTACATTTTATTTAAATAGCACTAACAGGTGTACTCAGCACTTTACAGGTTACATTACAGTAGAGGCAGGTACAGTAAGTGCGGTAGGTATACAGTGTATGTACATTTTATTTATATAGCGCTAACAGGTGTACTCAGCACTTTACAGGTTACATTACAGTAGAGGGAGGTACAGTAAGTGCAGTAGGTATACAGTGTATGTACATTTTATTTATATAGCGCTAACAGGTGTACTCAGCACTTTACAGGTTACATTACAGTAGAGGGAGGTCCAGTAAGTGCTGTAGGTATACAGTGTATGTATATTTTACTTATATAGCGCTAACAGGTGTACTCAGCACTTTACAGGTTACATTACAGTAGAGGGAGGTACAGTAAGTGCAGTAGGTATACAGTGTATGTATATTTTATTTATATAGCGCTACCAGGTGTACTCAGCACTTTACAGGTTACGTTACAGTAGAGGGAGGTACAGTAAGTGCAGTAGGTATACAGTGTATGTATATTATATTTATATAGCGCTAACAGGTGTACTCAGCACTTTACAGGTTACATTACTGTAGAGGGAGGTACAGTAAGTGCAGTAGGTATACAGTGTATGTATATTTTATTTATATAGCTCTAACAGGTGTACTCAGCACTTTACAGGTTACATTACAGTAGAGGGAGGTACAGTAAGTGCAGTAGGTATACAGTGTATGTACATTTTATTTATATAGCGCTAACAGGTGTACTCAGCACTTTACAGGTTACATTACAGTAGAGGGAGGTACTGTAAGTGCTGTAGGTATACAGTGTATGTATATTATATTTATAATGCGCTAACAGGTGTACTCAGCACTTTACAGGTTACATTACAGTAGAGGGAGGTACAGTAAGTGCAGTAGGTATACAGTGTATGTACATTTTATTTATATAGCGCTAACAGGTGTACTCAGCACTTTACAGGTTACATTACAGTAGAGGGAGGTCCAGTAAGTGCTGTAGGTATACAGTGTATGTATATTTTACTTATATAGCGCTAACAGTGTATGTACTTTATATAGCAGGTGTACTCAGCACTTTACAGGTTACATTACAGTAGAGGGAGGTACAGTAAGTGCAGTAGGTATACAGTGTATGTATATTTTATTTATATAGCGCTATACACTTTACAGGTTACATTACAGTAGGGGGAGGTACAGTAAGTGCAGTAGGTATACAGTGTATGTATATTTTATTTATATAGCGCTAACAGGTGTACTCAGCACTTTACAGGTTACATTACAGTAGAGGGAGGTACAGTAAGTGCAGTAGGTATACAGTGTATGTATATTTTATTTATATAGCGCTAACAGGTGTACTCAGCACTTTACAGGTTACATTACATTAGAGGGAGGTACAGTAAGTGCAGTAGGTATACAGTGTATGTATATTATATTTATATAGCGCTAACAGGTGTACTCAGCACTTTACAGGTTACATTGCAGTAGAGGGAGGTACAGTAAGTGCAGTTTGTATACAGTGTATGTATATTTTATTTATATAGAGTTAACAGGTGTACTCAGCACTTTACAGGTTACATTGCAGTAGAGGGAGGTACAGTAAGTGCAGTAGATATACAGTGTATGTATATTTTATTTATATAGCGCTAACAGGTGTACTCAGCACTTTACAGGTTACATTACAGTAGAGGGAGGTACAGTAAGTGCAGTAGGTATACGGTGTATGTATATTATATTTATATAGCGCTAACAGGTGTACTCAGCAGTTTACAGGTTACATTACAGTGGAGGGAGGTACAGTAAGTGCAGTAGGTATACGGTGTATGTATATTTTATTTATATAGCGCTAACAGGTGTACTCAGCAGTTTACAGGTTACATAACAGTAGAGGGAGGTACAGTAAGTGCAGTAGGTATACGGTGTATGTATATTATATTTATATAGCGCTAACAGGTGTACTCAGCACTTTACAGGTTACATTACAGTAGAGGGAGGTACAGTAAGTGCAGTAGGTATACAGTGTATGTATATTTTATTTATATAGCGCTAACAGGTGTACTCAGCACTTTACAGGTTTGTGAAACTACTGTATGAATGCTGGTGGCTTTCGTGCCGCCAGCATACGAATGCTCTCGTTCACCTCAAACATAGAATAGGGAACATGGACATTTCAGGCAGTCTTAATGCACATTATCACATAATGTAAATACAGTCTTAAGAGGCTAGGTTTGCCACACAGGGGCAGGGGTGGAGGGCTGGGGGGGGGTGGGGGGGTTGGAGGAATTAACACACAGCAACAAAACTGGATATGGCACAGAGAAACATTTAACATTGTCTAGAGGCTAAAAATCATTCACGGTTACCCTATTCAGGTACATTCCTCCACTTCCTTTAAACCATTTAAATAACAGAAATAAGGCTAGTATTAGTTGTAGCAGTGAAGCGGTTGGGAACCTGCCAGTGGCTGATCCAGACAGAAGATCCGGAAGGGGCACTGCTAAATTTTGCATTGGTGCAGTAAATTGAGAACATCTGTTATATAAAGTTTTATACGTATACATGTTCAGCTCCTTGACAAAGCAATGTGTAAGAGTATCACAGAGCTCCACAGCAATAAAACCCAGAGTAACGCGTTTTGTACTTTGCCAGCAAGGTCTAGGGAAAAAACACAAGGGCGCACGTCCAAAGGCGTTTTCTGGTTCCTGTTGGACCCAGAACCAGAGCCACTGCTGGCAGGGACCAGCACAACCACACATGGCTGAGCAAGTATTGATACCCCATATATCATCGCGTCTCCCCATTGCTGCCCTGCCCAACACAAGCTCCACTTACTCAGAGAAGCAGGTGTATCACCTGTCACTGCATTTGTGCTTATACGCCCAAGGGTAGGGGATAATATATATCAGGCGGCTGCACTGCTTATATAAGAACACCTAGTGCCAGTTAAATCTGCCAGTGGCTAGAAGGCTTCTGAGAGGGGAACATGCCCATGTGTCCCGCCCCAGGGTCTGCCACTGTTGCAGCTTTATATGGTATCAGAGGCCCACTTCATAATGTGCGATGTCTGTAGATATTTTAATAGCTATTTTCAGATAAAGGTAATGTCCCGGGGTCTGCCTGGCACAGCACAGCTTGTGTGTGAGTTGGCACAAAATAAGGTATAGGTAGTATTCGCACATATACAAACCAACCCGTAGAGATCAAATGATTTGTTACCGCTTTCTGTTAAAAAAAAAAATGTTACTTTATGTTCCTGACCCTTATACAGACACACGAATACACATTTCCTTTCCTGAGAAACCTTGCATCATATCATATGACAAATTTGTCAACGGATCATGGCAACCCTTTTCCAAGAATCTTGACCGTACGTAAATAAATGGAAACGAGAGAACTCCCCAGCCATGATTTGCATGATGGGTTTGAGTGGCATCCCATGGGCCAACATTCTCTGGCAGGGGAATGGTAAGTTTTTAGAAGCAAAACCCTTGAGGCATGCGTCTATGGCAAGGAGGACATTGTGGTCTCAGAAGTTCCTGTTGGCTTTTTTTTTCAGAGGCTTGAAATAGATCTTACTAGTTGTGCAAGATTTGAAATAGCTGCGGAAACTGCTGATCTTTGACAAAAACTCTCAAGTTGCACAAGTTACACAAATCACATCCGATTTATTTTGTTTTAGCAATAAAAAAAATTCCATGTTTCTGATTAAATGGTTACTCCAAGCACCATGAGCAGTTCAGTGATTTGAAGTGGTCATGGTGCCTGGAGTCTGTATGTCTAGCGGTTTGAAATGTAATCTCTTTACTGCTGGAGGTGTAACACTTCCTGTACTTGTAAACCATGAACCTGTACCTTTAACAGTAAAACACGTTGACGTGATACCACAACCGTAATATTGTTGTTGGAAATTAAGAAGGTGGGAAAGTAGTGAGGATTTAGATTTTTTTTTTTATTGACATGAGATTATGGTGAAAGAGCACGTCTTCTGATATAAAGGGAATGCTGCATTTAGTTACGGCTTGAATTGAAGAAATGGGGGTTACATTTTTGGACTATGGCTGGATGAGAGAGACATTGAGTTGCATCTCAGGAACAAGTCTGAGTGAATATTGACAATTCTGCAGACATCAACCAGAGTAAAATACCACCTTGGTAACAAATTATAGTTACACTCTTGAATGGAAACTTCAGCTACATTCCAAAAGTATATATCTTGTAAAATGTTTGGCCTGGCTCACTCTCTGTTACATGAAGGCCGTCTTCTGAAAACCATATGCAGTTTGGGTGCATAAAGTCTCCAATTGTCAGGATTACAGTTGATCCAGCACGCAGAATAGTATCACACCTAGGACTAAACGTAACGTCTAACCAGACCTTAGAATGGCTAGACTTAACGTACCAGAGAATAGTCGAAATACTAGCCAAGGTCAGAACACAGAAAGAAACACAGTTGCAAGGAATAGCCAATAGTCAGGGATACCAGAATTCAGGGAAGTCAGAACGAAGCCAAAGTCAATAACCAAAGAAACACGATCAGGAACAGACTCTCAGATTACCAGCAAAGGGAAACCACGACAGGGCAATGAGTAGAAGAAATGAGTGAGTTTAAATATCCCTCTTGTGGATCCAATTGGCCGTATCCGGCCTTTGACCCCAAAACGTGCGCGCGTCCTCTGTGTGCCGTCACCCGCACGTCGAAGGCACTACCACTGTGGACAGACGTGGATCTATATAACAGTGTGGATTTGCAGAGGCCAGCATCCACCGGCATGTCGCAAAACCCTGGTCTTATGGCATAGGACCGCCAAGCAACACTTTTCTCATTTCCAGATGGGTGATTATTGCTGTGCATAGCATATGGAGAGGATGTAAACGTGACACCAATTTAGTTAATGAAGAACAAAGTGTGAACAAAGTTGCCTAACTGGAGTAACGAAGTAATCACCAAAAATGAAGGCAAGCGGTGCAGTAGTAGAGGCTTTGGTGATATCATTTTGGGTTGTTATCTCAGAATATATTAGTTCTGATAAACTTGGGGGGATAGAGGGAACGCTCAGGATAATGAGTAACCCTAGAATAATAATATGAGTAAAAGGTTGGTATATCTAAGAATTGTTATCACCTATATGTGTCACTAATCAGATCTTTGATTTCTTTCAGAAGCAGAGTGGGCTTCTTGCAGTATTGGTGTTTTTATCTGCCTGCAGTGCTCGGGAGTCCATCGAACTCCAACAATTGGCAAAGTAAAATCTGTTCGATTAGACAACTGGGAACATGACCTTATAGAGGTAAAAAAAAATTATTTAAACACAACCTTAAAAATAATTGTTTGAGTAATAGATGCCATGATTAGAAGTAGTACTAAATGAGCCCCTCATGGACCAGTGAGGGTCTATGATGCCATAGCGATTAAATTTAGTAATTACATTTCCAAAATGGAATGATCCATAGGACCCACAGGAAATATAAAGCGATGATGTACCTTAAGGGGTTAATAATCCTTTGCACTTGGCAGTAAAATTTCAGTGATATTTATTTAATAAAACAAAGTCGGGCAATGTTTCAACGCCCTTCAGCTATTCAAATATATGGGGCAAAGCCAGCATCAGCCTCGGGGGAACTAAGTGAAAATAAAGGAACCTTCTATTATATCCGAGTAGGAGAAAGACCTTTTATTCATATGGTGTAGGGGAGAGTACAGGAATCGTACATAGTAAATATTGTATTTAGAAATCTTTACTTGTCCCTGTGTGAGAGACTCATTTGAGAGAAGAGAGAAATGACAGACCAGTATTGTTAAATATATTGTTATATAATGCGTACCATTGGAAACTATTTATATGAGGAATTTTTTTCCCACTAAATTGAGAATTCTAAGTGAATTTCAAATTCAAGAACTTGTGAATAACCATGTTTTTAAATGATTTTCTAACTTTCTCACACAGTTTATGAAAGCTCACGGGAATCTAAGGGCAAAAGAAAAATATGAAGCCTTCGTGCCACCATTTTATTACAAGCCGCGAGTAAGGGATTGCATGTAAGTTCAGTCACGTGTGATAGGATGTGACGTGTATCTGCTTTATTGAAGCCGACAAAAGGCAACGTATGATGCAAGGTGACTTGGTTTGTTCAGTGAGAATTTTATATTCTATATTAGAATCCCATTTGGAGGCATGACACATAGATCTGCACAACATGCCCATCTGACCATCATTCTTACCATTACAGAGAAGATAATATAATGGCTGTGTGTGTTTATGTTTTAGCTGACCTGTAGATGTTTTTAGATAGGAGTTTTGCCTAAGGCCATAGGTGTGCGCACAGAGTGTGGGATTGGCCCTGTGTTCCCTGGAATCCCTTCCCCCCTCCTGCAAAATAAAGTCATACTAATGGCTGTGGTCTATTGGCCATTGATCCGAGGGGGAGGAGGGAGAACTTGGTCTGTACTTCCAGGCCACGTTCTCCACTCATTTACTGTATTAGAGAGCATTGCCGCAGGTTAACATGGCAACGCTCTACATTTTCTGGTGCTGGCCGGAAAGAACTGTCTGGATTCCCCCCTCCCTGGCCAAAGATAATTCTCAAAGACAGGGGAAGAAACTGCATTTTGTAGTTTGTTTGTTTTTTCATTATGAAAGCTTCAACTTCCCATTACATCCCCTAACACCCACAACTGCCCTAGAATCCCAAAACATCCCCTAACTCTCACTACATCCCCTAACACCCACAACTGCCCCAGAATCCCAAAACATCCCCTAACTCTCACTACATCCTTTAACACCCACAACTGCCCCAGAATCCCAAAACATCCCCTAACTCTCACTACATCCCCTAACACCCACAACTGCCCCAGAATCCCAAAACATCCCCTAACTCTCACTACACCCTTTAACACCACCATAACGGCCCCAAACTCCCACTTCTGTCTCTAGATCCCCACTACTGCTACTGTCCCATAAAATGCCTAGGTGCATTTCATTCTTATTATTCTTATTATTATTATTATTATTATTATTTATAAAGCGCCAACAAGTTTTGCAGCGCTGTACAATGGGTGGACTAACAGACACTTATTTGTAATCAGACGAGTTGGACACACAGTAACAGAGGGATTGAGGGTCCTGTTCAGTGAGCTTACATGTTAGAGGGAGTGGGGTATAGTGACACAGTAACAGAGGGATTGAGGCCCTGCTCAGTGAGTTTACATGATAAAGGTAAGGTTTGGGTCGAAAATGACGTTGCTAGGATAGTATTTACTGAGAGCTTAGTGTTGTTTTGATGACATCTCCCATGGCATTCCCTGATAGCTACCCGCACACAGCCACACACATAATTCACAGTTACCTATACACAGCAATACTCAAATCTCCCAGCTACCCACACACAGCAATACACATTATTCACAGCTACCCACACATCACTCGCATATATACTCACATTACACACGTAAATCCACAACACACATCTGACACACAGCTACAACACTTACAGCCACTTTACACCTACACAAGTCACTCACACACACACACACACACACCATACATCCACTTAACATTTTAATAAATATTCACATTAAACAACATTAAAAAATAACATAAGGGAAGAATTTCTCTGTGCCCACCTTTGAAATGGACTTCACACGCCTATGCCTAAAGCCTCACACTCTAAAGCCCCCTCTAGTGGAATCTGTTATTACAGGCAAAATACTAGAATACCTCTATTAGAGGTTAGTGGATGGTCAGTGGCTGACTGCATAGATGAGACGACTGGGGAGGGAAGAATCTAATTTCAGTGTCATTTATAACTGAAGCAAGAAAAGACTGTTTAGTAGGCTACAAATCCTGCATGTTTTAAGAAAGTTCAAAGTAGCATATATGTCAGGAACGTCTTTTAAGTCATATTTCATTCTTATCAGGATTCTAAAAGAAGAATGGATCAAGGCAAAGTATGAGCGTAGGGAATTCGAATTCAAAAGGGACTACCCAACAGGTAAACGTTAAAGAAAAGATATACTTGGCCTCATAGAAACATTGTATGGAAATTAATTATGTTCATTCATTAATGTGGTACACAAGCAAATATAGCATTAATCTTTGCAAGAATTCATAATCTGTATTCAATGTGTATATGTTTGCATGTTTGTGGTCAGTGTGTGTATGTTTGCATGATCTCTATTCAATGTGTGTATGTTTGCGTATTTGTGGTCAGTGTGTGTATGTTTGCATGATCTGTATTCAATGTGTGTATGTTTGTGTGTTTGTGGTCAATGCGTGTATGTTTGTTCGTTTGTGTTAGTTCTTGATATTGCACACTGGTCAAAATTAGAAGAAATTTAAGTAATTAATAAATCTATATATCCCTCTCTCAGCAGTCTGCATTATTAAACGAACACTAGAGGGTCAGGAACACCAACATCTATTCCTGAACCTATAGTGTTAAAACCACCATCTAACCCCCCTGACTCCCTTATCCCTCTAAATATAGCAACATCTTTAATTCAGTCTGCAGCTGCTGACTCTGCCCCTTATCTGTCTGCTTAGCTGACATCATCAGAAGTAGTGATCTGACCCAATCACAATGCTTTCTTACAGGATTGGCTGAGACTGTCAAGGGGGAAGATCAGGGGCAGAGCCAGCACAAGTCAAACACAGCCCTGACCAATAAGCACTCCTCATAGAGATGAATTGAATCAATGAATCTCTATAAGGAAAGTTCAGTGTCTCCATGCAGAGGGTGGAGACACTGAATGTCAGTCACACTGTGCAGCACTGCCCCAGGAAGCACCTCTAGGAGCCATCTGAGGAGTGGCCAGTTAAGTTATCACTGTAATGTAAACACTGTATTTTCCCTGAAAAGACAGTGTTTACAGCAAAAAGCCAGAATGGAATGTTTATAGTCACCAGAATGGAATGTTTATAGTCACCAGAATACATGCAATAAGCTGTAGTTGTTCTGGTGACTATTGTGTCCCTTTAAAAGCTAACACTTTACAATGTGTCCACAATAAAAATTTACAGTAATGTGCTGTGTGTGTAAGTAAATCACAAAGCTCCTCAACAATAAAACTCACCACAATGTAATGTGTGTGTGTGTGTGTGCTTATTACAACAATACAATTCACAATTACACTCAGTGTGTATGAATGTATCACAGAGCTCCACAGTAAAACAATTCACAATCGCTCAGTGTGTATGAATGTATCACAGAGCTCCACAGCAAAACAATTCACAATTGCTCAGTGTGTATTAATGTATCACAGAGCTCCACAGCAAAACAATTCACAATTGCTCAGTGTGTATTAATGTATCACAGAGCTCCACAGCAAAACAATTCACAATTGCTCAGTGTGTATTAATGTATCACAGAGCTCCACAGCAAAACAATTCACAATTGCTCAGTGTGTATTAATGTATCACAGAGTTCCACAGCAAAACAATTCACAATTGCTCAGTGTGTATTAATGTATCACAGAGCTCCACAGCAAAACAATTCACAATTGCTCAGTGTGTATGAATGTATCACAGAGCTCCACAGCAATGAAACGTACACAATGTGTGTTTTAATGGATGTAAACGTGTTTGTAACTTGGTTTAGATAATGGCATAAAGGGCACGTAAATCAGTAAGCCATTGCCTCCCTTGGGAAAAAAAAAAAGGATATACAAATCCCAGTTCTATCACACCCTTCAAATATATGTCATCCATATTATATTAAATAATATTTTTAGATAATATAATTGTAACGTGCAGAGGATCCAAAGGAGGTGTTTTGGATACGATAGCTGGGATGCATGTTGATGTAGGTTAATGTATGTCAGTGACTGACTGCACAGTAATCTGGGCGGTGGGAATCTGAATGCAGTTTTACGTATTACTGAAGCAAGAACTGACTGAATAAAAGACGTATTATTGCAATCTGATCTGAACACCATAGATGATATGTCATTGTTTTGTCTGTAAGGAGACAAAGAAGGCTACCTGTGGAAGCGAGGACGTGACAACAGACAATTTTTGAAGAGGAGGTTTGTTTATTCGGAGAGTGAACGACTTCTAAAGTATTACACCAATAACGTGAGTTTTGATTGATTTAGTTTTATTGAAAATAGAGGGTATACATCCCGGAAAGGGCTTCTCATAATAATATTTCTTATTCTAGCCAACGGTCCCAAAAGGAACAATTCCTATTCGTAGCCTGAATGCCATGTTTCAGGGTGACAAAATTGGCCATGCCCACGGACTGGAGATCACATACGTACAAGACAGACAGACCAGAAACTTGTTTGTGTACCATGAAGATGGAAAGGTAAAGAATCTCAGATAAAAGGATGTAGCTATTTATCATCACGCTAACAGCTGCTGAGTAGCTGGTAATGTCGTAGCGATCCCACCATTCATTTACTTTTACCATTACCGGATTGGTGAAAAAGGCTCTGCACCTCGCCTTTAGCACTCACGTTTCACAATTGATCACAGTCTTTTTTTAAATTAGTTTTCGACACATTGACACTCAGGGAATCAACATTTTTCTAATATTGAACCAATAATTACAAATTGTGCGTATGAGCAGAACGAACATCACCCGGTGGCGTGTGAAAGCATTGCTAATTAAGGATTTCTCGATTATACCAATTAAACGGCAAATACGCACTAACATACAAACATACAAACACAATAACTCAAATACCATTTGAAAAAATATATATACACTGCAATGTCCATGAGGAATATGTGGGCTTTTGCGCATGATGACTTAATACGCAGAGCTTTTATTTAATTGTATCTTTTATTTGAACAAATTAAAAGATACAATTATATAACACGTTTTGTGTTTTGACTCATGGCTGATCAAATGAAAAAAAATCTAACCATGTAAGAAGCAACAGAAAAAAATACATAAATACTTCAAACTGTCCACTCTTTTGCAACATCTAGTTCCATATTTCTGACACCACGTATATGTGCCGATTGCTTCAATGCCTTCGTCATGACGTCCGCTGGGTTTTCGTCCGAGTAATGTAGAGAACTCTTAGAGCTCCTTCCTTGAACGGTTCCATTACAATATGATATGCAATATCTGTGTGTTTCGTTTTATTTTCATCCATCCTATTCTTAGAGTAATCTATCGCTGCTTGGTTGTCACAGTAAATTTCGATACTCTGTGGAATTAAACATTCAGATCAGTTTAGTTCTTCTAATATCAAGCATGCCCAGATTGCCTCTTTAACACCTTGAGCCAATTAAATACATTCCGCTTCCATGGTGGAGGTTGATATACATTTTTGCTTCGATGAAGGCCATTGCAAAGTATTCCTCCCTAATTTTGTGATCATTCCGAGTAGGAATGTCTGTCTTCTGTGTCTCCTGCCCAATCTGTGTCACAATATATTTTTAATTCTGTTTTTTTATTTAGTTTGTATGCAAGTGTACAGTCTTTAGTTTGTTTATCTGGGTTGGTATTGTACTGTGACAGTTTTGTTACTGCTGAAAGGTTGTAGTCTGTTTCACACCGGTATATTGTTGCACCGGAGCTCTGTGGTAGAGGACTGCAAACCTCCAAAATGCATTGAAAGGTGAAGAGCCACAGGCTGCACAGTGTAGGGTGTATAGTCAGATACTATATGCTATAATGAACAAAACAGGGATATCATTTTTGACCTTGAGGCCTTAAAGGGACACTATAGTCACCAGAACAACTACAGCTTAATGTAGTTGTTCTGGTGAGTATAATAGCTCCCTTCAGGCATTTTCATGTAAACAATACCTTTTCAGAGAAAAGGCATTGTTTACATTTCCCCCTAGGGACACCTCCAAGTGTTACTCCTCAGATGTCCACTGGAGGTGCTTCCTGGCTCAGTGCTGCACAGTAAGCAGCCCTGCCGTTCAGCGTCCCCACGCTCTGCATGGAGATGCTGAATTTTCCTCATAGAGATGCACTGATTCAATGCATCTTCATGAGGAGGTCCTGATTGGCCAAAACGGCATTTGGCCCCGCCCCTGTGCCGATTTCCCTATAAGAAAGCATTGGATTGGCAAAAAATCGTCCATTTTGATGATGTCACAAAGGGGGCAGATCCAGCGCCAGCGGACCCACGCGACGCTGGAAATAAGGTGAGTTTTATTAACTTTTAAGGGGACTAAAGGGGGAGGCAAGCTACCTAAATGGCGGGTTTAGCACTATAGGGTCAGGAATACATGTTTGTGTTCCTGACCCTATAGTGATCCTTTAATCATTTACATGTAACTGATTTATGTCTCAAGGCCGAAATGTCATGTCCCAGTTTTGTTCTTTATAGCACAATAGCTATGTGCACTAGTTTCGTCTTTTACAGACGTGGTGGGTGCATTTGCTATCCAACAGTCACGAGTCTTCTAAATCTACATTTTTCAGACTTACCTGGAATGCATCGTAATCTAGTGTTCCTTGTTTCGTTTTATTTTTGTATATCCTTATACGAAAATCTCTGAATACGAATATTTTGTTTGGGGTTTTTTTGCGTTCGAGATTTCTGACAGATTTGGATTTCAAATAAAGAATGAGTTATACCCAGCCTGGAGCGTCTCTTTCAATGTGATGGAACACTGCAGAATTATGAATACAAACAAGTATTCCTACCCAACGCTATAATGTTCTGCTAACTATTTAGATTACTGCCACCCCATGTGCAATAAAAAAAATTAAGTTTTACTTGCCTTTTAGCCCGTGTCACGTCTGTCTCTGTGCTGCCACTTCCTCCCACTGACATCATCAATCTTGATGATCTCATCCAATCCAATGCTTTGCTGTAGGTTAAGTATTGGGAGGCTTATATGTATGACGGCAAATTGTCTTGCTGTGCTGATCAGCATCAAATTAATTAATCTCTATGGGGAGTTTTTAGCATCTCCATGCACAGTGTGGTCTAGCTGAGTATATGTCCTGCAAAGATTGCAGGACCTCAACTAACAAACCCCCTCTACTGGCTGTCTGAGTGACAGCAACAAGAGGTGGACTTTACAGTACTGAACCGGCAAGAATAGACTACATGATCCAGATCCACTGCATTAAGGTGTACTGGTTATGGTGACTATAGTGTCCCTCTAACACCGCTTTACACAACTCCTACTTTTGTACTCTGAATAGAGAAAACCAATTACACACCATATACATCAACGTTGCTGATGTATCAATTTGTACAGTCTAGATTAATCATTGAATTCAATTAACTACATCATATAAAATACAAATAATTAGCTCAAAGTAGCCACTCAGCTTTCTCTCACATACTAGCAATGCAGTTATGACTTTTGGGGTTTTTGGTTCATATTTTGGACTGGTCATGTGATCTCAGTTTTGCATTACCTTATCTGCAAATATCGCTAAAGGCAGATGTATGGAGTTACAGCAACACTCGGTTTTTTCCCCAATGTGCTCCTACAATATTGTGGCTATTACAAGAATATTCAAGTGCAATCTTGTTGTAAATGTCTTCCATTTTAGATTATTTTTTTTTTTTTTGTCAATCGATTTTTTTTAATTTTTTTTAATTGAGGCACATGTATAACAGATACTTTCTCATAGTAGTAACGACTGCAGAAGTGGTGAGCCATACGTGCCTGTTTTTCTTAAAAAATAGTGAGTTAACATAGAAACAGCTGTGTATTTCAGCCTCTTCTGAGTAATTTAGATGGTATACAGATAAACAAAGCCTCTTTTATATCGTATAGTTTAGGCATAACGTGGAACATGGTGAAAATAAATGGTTAGAGAATAACACTAACAACAGCAACAACAAATAGAGAATATAATCCCATGGGTTCCATAGGGAAATTAGAAAAACTCAGAGAAGGTGATGAGATATAAGTGGATTCCGAAATAGCAATATGTAAGCATAAATCAAGCTAAAGAGGCTCTCTGATACCCCCAGGAGAGATCACCCTAACCCTAGCCAGTGGCAGGACAAAGTCCCCTAACTCAGAATTGCTCCCGACTTTTGACATTATTTACATTTTTTTTTCTTGCATACTGTTCCGCGTTTTTTCCCACCATCATAAACTAGTTTTTAATCAAAACTAGATCTGGAGAATGTTTGCAGAAAATATAGAAATTGCTATTTCCTCTGCTGTGTTTCCCCTTCCCCATTCGTGTATAGAGAATGGGGCCAAATATTGTTGAGGAATGTGCTGCTACTAAATTTGAACAGAGTTCATTTGTAGATATGCAAAGTTACAAAAAAAGTATTTGTTTTATCCTGCCGAATCCATGTGTTTTAGCAATTTATCTGTGTTTCCATAATTTGGGGCGTTTATTAGAGATTATTACCATTTACATAGCACCCACGTATTGCACAGTGCTTAACAATTCTAGAAAAGGGATACTTAGTAGTAAAACAGGGCCTGAGCAAACAAGCTTACAATCTTTGAGGATTTGAGGTATGAGGATAGTATCGTTAGATGTCTTGCCCAGGGACAGTTACTGATGAAGTTGTCTGACCGGGATTCGAACCTGGGTTTCCCAGTCCTAAGGCAGTGATGTTATGCCTTGATTGTAAAGTCATGCAGAGAATACATATTTGATTTTAATGTAATAATGAGAGTCATACAAAGTTTTCCAGTTTAGAGTTCCTTGTTTCAATGAACTGAGACACAAGTTAAGATATTTACTGAATAATACTTCTGTTGTCATGCAGGAAATAGTGGCCTGGTTTAATCTGCTACGGGCAGCTCGTTTCAATTACCTGAGGGGGGCATTTCCTGGTACTCCAGAAGCAGAGGTAAGAACGAAGGTACTAACACCTATTAATGCACAAATACAAAACGTAAAGAATGCACACATGAGTTTATCCTGTACCGCAATATGTATGAGTTAGGTTTACCTATTTTTAATGGTTTATTAATACGTTTTATGATAAAATTTTATATCTATTCGTTATCTCATCCTCTTGGATTCTGTACCTCACGAATGGCGCTATCTTTCACACCGTTTAAATATTAACTCCAACATGACACTAACATTATTACAGATATTAACCCCTAAACCACATTTACTCTATTGCTAAATATTAACCCCATACACTGCACTAATGCTATTGTGAAATATTAACCCCTACACTGCACTATCACCAAACAGAAACAATGTATATAAGTAGTTTAATAAAAACACTATCTACCACCACCACCTCCTGGGGCAAAACTCCACAAAGCCCCTTATGAAACACAAACTATAAAAACAACAATGGGCGATATGTGGTATATCTCACACTCTAATATAAACTAGGTGTAGGACACTAATAAACATACTCGTATTATATAACGGTATGTTCTTTGATTGCTTGATGTTAGTTGAATTTCATACAAGACCATATACTCTTCAAAACTAGCTTAAAAATAGAAAACAAACTACAATAGTGTAGTATTTAAAAGCATTATACACACACACTAAAATAATGCACTTACAAACTGTAGCGGAGCTGCAATATTAAATCGCAATATCTCCGCTGGTACAGAAAGTAATCCAAGTAAAGCGCTGAAAATTAAGGCAATATCCCAAATCCCCCAGTAACCGGACGAAACACAGTTCTGGGAGTCAACTGACGATTTTATTTACAAGCTCCAGTATTTATGTGATTCCCCATGCAAGGGGTTTCCTTAGTCACTTTACCGGGGTTGTACAGTAGAGGACTACATGGGGAACTGAACATGCAGGACATTTCTCCCACCGTGCACTGCCGTACGAGAGGGGTACTCCCACAAGAATATCTTGTTAAATGAATTATCCCTCCGTACAGCAGAACCGGCTTTTCACACAAAAATCTGTAACTTATACTTTATTCGTGCCATTGTACCGAATGACCGTTCGGCAGATAGCACACTTTGGGAAAGTACCGCTCAGATCCCAGCATAAATAACTGAACGCCGCACTAAATACATTTTACCACCAACTTTTCAGAAAGTCACGAATACATAGGTTGAAAGAAAGTACCAAAAGACCGGCGCTCCAGAACGGCCTGGAAGTCCAGCGGTGTTCACGCGGTCGAGTAGCCGATTTTAGTTCCAGGCACTCGACGACCAAACACCGCTGGGCTAAAAGAAAATCCAAGATGGCCGCCGCCGCGTGGTCGGTAGCCGAACGACGGCCACCCGGGAAATCAATTAGCAGCCGATTGATACAATGTTGCAACCGGTTAATGGGAGCCACACGACCCTCTGTGTGTTGGCTCCCATTCGGTACTTTGTTCGTTTCACGAACAGTATGGAAAGTCACTGTTCGTTAAACTACCATATGAATGCTAGCGGCTTTCGGCCGTTAGCATACGAATGCTCTTTATTACAGGTATAGCTAAATACATAAACTAACAGAATTGGACCAGCTTTTCTAGGACAACCTGTAGACATAAAGCAGCATAATCTGAAGTGGCTAGGTTTGCCACACAAACATAATGCGCTATACACAAAGTAAACAGCGATATAACAGCTCAATAGTCTCCTATCCAGGAAATCTAAACAGCTAATGAGCTATTATCACACTGTTTACTTTGGTATAGTGCTTTAATGTTTATAAGTGCATTATTTTAATGTGTGTGCGTGTATAATGTTTTAATTACTATACTATGACAGATTATTTTCTATTTTAAGCTATTAATTTTTATAATTTTTTAGAATTTCTATAGATTCCACTAACTACAAGCAGTTGAGTAACATGCCTTTATATAATACAATTGGATATTTTTATTTGCGTCCTACACCTGGGTGTATATTTGGGTGTGAGACATATGATATACCACCATTGTACTCTTCATACCACACTAACAATATTACTAAACATTAACCTCTACATTACCCCAAGACGTTTGCTAAACATTAACCCCTACACTGCATCAACACTATCACTAAACATTAATCCCTCTATTATACAAAAACCAAACACTAACTACTACACTACATTCACACGCCACGCGCATTAACACTAAACGTAACATTTGTAAGTTAGAAAAGGATGAGCCATATATAAATGCAGTCACTGAATTTACCTGTGAAGTTCCCCAAGGATGGAATGCATTGTTCAGAAAATACAGGCGTTGAAATGCTACTCATAACAGGATATTCAGCATACTTTAACAGCCCCTCCATGTACCTGCAGAAAATTGTTACACTCAAAAAACCCCGATTGCTTCCCTGAGGATGTGACTATTGTACAGCAGCGAATGTAGGGACATAACACACAATAGCCGCAGTGTCACTCATCTGGCTCTGTGTATGTCACATTCATCTACTGAAACAAGGCTATCACTGCCAAATACTGAGCGAACTTTATTTTATTTTTTAAGAAAGGCCATAAACATATTAATGCACAAATAATCTCTTCCTTGGTATATAAATTAAATATAGTCCAGATTTTCATCACATGTACCGATTTTGTCTTTCAGCTGATTCCAAAGATTACTCGAAATTACTCGAAAGCGGGTTACATGGAGAAAACTGGACCGACGGTGAGTTATTTACTATTTCTGTTCTGGGTTTTTGGCACTTTTTGCATTGGGAACTCTTATACAGAATTATATTTTTTTTTAAAAAGGAATGGTTTAATCTGTCAGTGATAATCTCTCTGTGCAGCGTGTAGGTGAGGGAGAAGACGACTAGCAGATTTCAAAGTTCTCAAGACACAACCTCAGTTCTGCTTACAGCCAAGGGTTTGCTTATCAGAATTCTACTTCTGATTGTTGGGAGCTAACCTAAAACTAACAGAAACCATTGGTGTTCTTGCTGATGAGATGTACAGTTGTGTTTTTTTTAAAAAGCCAGCAAGCAGAGGAGTTACGAAAAGGGTAAACTTATAAAGCTGTGTCATCAGTATCAGATCCAGTGACCAACAAGAGGAACTTTTTTAGATTGGAGGGGGTCAGACAAATGAGAGCCTGGAATGTACTTTTAATGATCATTTTCATTTAAAACACTACAGATATACACTGATCAACCACAACATTAAAACCACATACCTAATATCATATACGGCCACCTCATGCTGCCAAAACAGCTCTGATGCGTTGAGGCATGGACTACACAAGACATCTGAACATGTCCTGTGGTATCTAGCACCAAGACTGTAGCAGCAGATCCTTCAAGTCCCGCAAGTTGCGAGGTGGCGACATCATGGATCAGATTTGTTTCAGCACATCCCATATTTGCTCAATCGGATTGAGATCTGTGAAATTTGGAGGCCAAGGCCACACCTTGAACTTTTTGTCATGTTCCTCAAACAATTTCTGAACAATTTTTGCAGTGTGGCATGGTGCATTACCTTACTGAAAGAGGCCACTGCCATCAGGAAATACCATTGCCATGAAGGGATGTACGTGGTCTGAAACAATATCTAGATATGTGGTTTGTGTCAAAGTAACATCTACATGAATGCCAGGACCCAAGGTTTCGTAGCAGAACAGGCCTGCTTTCTTTTCATACAGAACCCTGCTGCCACGTCTTCACCCAGATAATAGAGGCACAAGCACACGGCCATCCACCTGAACTAAAAAAAAACATGATTCATCAGACTAGGCAACCTTTTTCTATTGCTCCATGGTCCAGTTCTGATGCTCACGTCCCCATTGAAGGCGCTTTCCTACAGTCATCATGGGCACTTTGACTGGTCTGTGGCTACGCACCGCCATACGCAATAAACTGCAATGCTCTGTGTGTTCTGGCACCTTTCTATCACAGTCAGCACTAAATTTTTTCGGCAATTTGAGCTACATTTAGCTCTTCTGTGTGATCGGACCAGATAGGATAGCCTTTGCTCCCTGCGTGCTTCAAAGAGCCTTGGGTGCCCATGAACCTGACACCGGTTCACTGTTTCTCCTTCCTTGCACCACTTTTGGTAGATACCTACCACTGCATACCAGGAACACCCCACAAGACAATAAGCCATATTGGAAATGCTCTGACCCAGTTATCTAGCGATCATTATTTAACCGTTGTCAAAGTCACGTGGATCTGTTCGATGATCCACTTTTCCTGTTTCCAACACATGAAATTCAAGTACTGACTGTTCACTTGCTGCCTAATATATCGCACCCATTGACATGTGCTATTGTAACGCTGTAATCAATGTTATTCAATTCACCAGTGCCAGTGGATTTAATGTTGTGGCTGATCAGTGTTTAACACTTTTTTCTGATGCCATGGTAAACGCTGCATTAAAACATAAAAAATCAGTCAATCAGCAGACTTGGAATGGAATCCTCAATGAATGGAAAGACACTTCTCCTGGGCCACATATCCCAAGAGCTAAAATGAGGATTTTGTAGTAAGAAAATGGAGGCATATTCCCAGGAAACTCCAAAAAGTAACTAGATCTCACTGAGATTGTTTGCTGCTGTTTTGAGAGCAACTTATCAGATCCTTCCATCTGGTAATTTCATTACATTTAAAGTGAACCTGTTGTGGAAAAAATTTACTTGTCTGAAATCGCTCCCATATACATTGAATACACCGTATATCATAGAGATACGTACTGTACTCAATGTAAAATATAAAGATTTACTAACTTTTTCTCCGTTCCAGCACCGCCTGGTTGTGCTCAGCTCCGCCTTCGCTCCTCCCGAAGTCTTCTTTGATTTGCCCAGCGTGGGACGCATCCTAAAGCTGTGCAAATCTCGTCAGTGATGTCGGCATGCTAGTTTTGTTGCTAGTCATGTCACTTTGTTCCTGTACTCACTAGTCGGTGCTAGAAGTTCCGGCTAGGGAGTTTCCATAGCAACCAGAGCACATCCACAGGCACCTCTTGTGGGCGTTTTTTTTTCGGCTCTCCCTGCTTGGAGAAAATAGTTTTTTTAAAATAGGTTTTCTCCTAATCTATACATTTGCTTGCAAACTGCATAGATAACATCTTATGCTCAATTTTAATGAGCAGAACTTGTTTGGGGCAATACAGGTGTTTATGAAATAAGAGTGGACCCCATAGACCGCAATAAGGGGCTCCTAAATGGTGCACCTCTCCCTGGTGAGATAAGGGTCTACTTGCTACTGACAGTCTACACAAGTGCTGTAGACAAAGGTATTTTAATGCATTCTATATAATATATTAAAACATTAATTTTAAACTGTATATTATTTTTGTTAATGAACATGCATTATGCATTTAGTTCTTTGAATGTATTTCAATAACATCCACTTCTCAATTTACTTCACACAGCACAAAGAACCCTTTAAAAAGCGATGGTTTAACTTGGATGCAGAACAAAGAAAACTACTTTATTACAAGAAACCTTTGGTAATCACATCATTAACAGTAATCACACCAGGACTGTATACAAGAGAAATATTTCAGTGTTCTTATTCACTTCTTAATAACTTCAATAACAGTATACTGAAAAAACCTTTACCTGCTGCCAAGGGTTCTGGGTAATAACTGGCCTTACCCCATAATCACACAGTATACAGAGCTCCCCCTGCAGCCAGGGATTCTGGGTAATAACCCGCCTTACCCCATAATCACACAGTATACAGAGCTCCGCCTGCAGCCAGGGATTCTGGGTAATAACCCGCCTTACCCCATAATCACACAGTATACAAAGCTCCCCCTGCAGCCAGGGATTCTGGGTAATAACCCGCCTTACCCCATAATCACACAGTATACAGAGCTCCCCCTGCAGCCAGGGATTCTGGGTAATAACCCACCTTACCCCATAATCACACAGTATACAGAGCTCCCCCTGCAGCCAGGGATTCTGGGTAATAACCCGCCTTACCCCATAATCACACAGTATACAGAGCTCCCCTGCAGCCAGGGATTCTGGGTAATAACCTACCTTACCCCATAATCACACAGTATACAGAGCTCCCCCTGCAGCCAGGGATTCTGGGTAATAACCCTTACCCCATAATCACACAGTATACAGAGCTCCCCTGCAGCCAGGGATTCTGGGTAATAACCTACCTTACCCCATAATCACACAGTATACAGAGCTTCCCCTGCAGCCAGGGATTCTGGGTAATAACCCACCTTACCCCATAATCACACAGTATACAGAGCTCCCCCTGCAGCCAGGGATTCTGGGTAATAACTGGCCTTACCCCATAATCACACAGTATACAGAGCTCCCCTGCAGCCAGGGATTCTGGGTAATAACCTACCTTACCCCATAATCACACAGTATACAGAGCTTCCCCTGCAGCCAGGGATTCTGGGTAATAACCTGCTTTACCCCATAATCACACAGTATACAGAGCTCCCCCTGCAGCCAGGGATTCTGGGTAATAACCCGCCTTACCCCATAATCACACAGTATACAGAGCTCCCCCTGCAGCCAGGGATTCTGGGTAATAACCCGCCTTACCCCATAATCACACAGTATACAGAGCTTCCCCTGCAGCCAGGGATTCTGGGTAATAACCCGCCTTACCCCATAATCACACAGTATACAGCGCTCCCCCTGCAGCCAGGGATTCTGGGTAATAACCCGCCTTACCCCATAATCACACAGTGTACAGAGCTTCCCCTGCAGCCAGGGATTCTGGGTAATAATCCGCCTTACCCCATAATCACACAGTATACAGAGCTTCCCCTGCAGCCAGGGATTCTGGGTAATAACCAGCCTTACCCCATAATCACACAGTATACAAGGCTTCCCCTGCAGCCAGAGTTCTGGGTAATAACCAGCCTTACCCATAATCACACACACAGTATACAGAGCTTCCCCACTGCGGCCAGGGATTCACCACGGGTAATAACCTGCCTGCCACCCATAATCACTACAGTATACAGAGCTCCCCTGCAGCCAGGGATTCTGGGTAATAACCATTACCCATAATCACACGGTATGCAGAGCTCCCCTGCAGCCAGAGGGATTCTGGGTAATAACCTACCTTACCCCATAATCACACGGTATATGACTTCCTGCAGCCAGGGGATTCTGGGTAATAATAACCCGCCTTACCCATAATCCACACGGTATACAGAGCAATCACGCGGTATACAGGCTGCCTTACCCCATAATCACACAGTATACAGCGCTCCCCCTGCAGCCAGGGATTCTGGGTAAAAACCCGCCTTACCCCATAATCACACAGTATACAGAGCTCCCCTGCAGCCAGGGATTCTGGGTAATAACCCGCCTTACCCCATAATCACACAGTATACAGAGCTTCCCCTGCAGCCAGGGATTCTGGGTAATAACCTACCTTACCCCATAATCACACAGTATACAGAGCTCCCCCTGCAGCCAGGGATTCTGGGTAATAACCCGCCTTACCCCATAATCACACAGTATACAGAGCTCCCCCTGCAGCCAGGGATTCTGGGTAATAACCCGCCTTACCCCATAATCACACAGTATACAGAGCTCCCCCTGCAGCCAGGGATTCTGGGTAATAACCCGCCTTACCCCATAATCACACAGTATACAGAGCGCCCCCTGCAGCCAGGGATTCTGGGTAATAACCCGCCTTACCCCATAATCACACAGTATACAGAGCTCCCCCTGCAGCCAGGGATTCTGGGTAATAACCCGCCTTACCCCATAATCACACAGTATACAGAGCTCCCTCTGCAGCCAGGGATTCTGGGAAGCTATCGTTGTTATCATGTGTTTACTATGTAACATCATGTAAAATTTAAAAAACTTTTCTGCTTTACAGGATGCTTTTGAACAGGGCGGAGTGTTTATAGGAAGCAAAGAACAAGGGTATGCAGTGTCAGAAGGTTTACCTAGAGGAATAAGGAAAAGCAAGTGGGACACTGGGTTTGTTATTAAGACACCATGGAGGGAATTTGTATTCACCTGTGAAAACACCAACGATCAAAAAGAATGGCTGGAAATACTGAGGGAAATCATATCTCGGCCCATGACTGAGGAAGATTGTAAAGGTAATGGTTTTAGAATAATAATGGGATAACGTCACAGTCTGATTTTTGGCAATGATTGACGAGCCATTGATCCAAGGTCATTGAATACCGTGTCCAAGTATTCTTTCCTGTTACGGGTACAGTAGATCAATGTGTAGCCACCCTGCCTTTTGAAAAACGTCTATCTGACAATACGACAATTAATGCATTAATTTAGTTGATCTCTGTTATTTATTAGGGAATGTTATTTGCATCAGACGGGGTAGATATATATATTTTTTTTATATATAAATGTTCTTTTAAGAATGAATTCTTTGATAAGTTACGATGTTTAAAAAGATACAACCAGCGATGAATTCTGCTGTACTTGATAACGTTGGCACACTGCTGTCATAATTGTACGGGTTAATTTAATAAATAGAGAATTACTGTACGCTGACAACCATGTTGCAAATATTTCCAATTCCGCTACATTTGTTTAAATTTAGCAATTTTACTGTTGGCACGTCACAATTCACTGTTTAGTAAACTGGCCACCTATGAGTGTGACTGTTCATACATGAAAAATGTGTCACAAACGCACCCTAATTCAAGAGTGTGCGTGATGTAGTTGTGGTGGTGAAAGGGTTAAAGTTCACTATTTGTCTGCACTAGGCCGTAAATGATGATGAAATCCCACCTAATACCACCTACACGTAACCATAATAATATAAATATTACTATTTTAACGCTGCCACCACCAAGACCATTTATAAATGGAGAACTTGGTCCCCCAGGTAACTGAATAATAAAAACCCACCAAATACAACTTAGCACAATATCTAAGCAATTGCAAAACACTAATTAGTCTCTTCGGTTAACGTGATTCTTAACCAGGCAAAGACAATACTTAATAAATGAATATTTATTATGAGCAAAAAATAGTCACAGTGCATACAATAATATAGATGACAATCAAATTAGTTACACCAACAACAGATAAAAACAAAAGGGATAAAATAACAGAAGTTTGAATCACTTACTCAGGTTTTCAAAGTAAAAACTTCTGCCCAGGGGGTCTCTGGTAGGAAAGATGATGACTCAGTCAAAATTAGATTCTGCCCCCAAGCAAGTCCAATACACATTTCAGTATCATTGGATATATACCCTGTGGATTACCAAGCCTGGCCTAGAGGTGGAGTTGAGGCGTATCTATAGAGACACCCCCTTGTGTTTGAGACCCACATCAATCCAAATAGAAACTTTTTTGTCTATCTCCTCTTTTGTACTTGCCACAGAAATAATAATTGCATATATGTTACCATTTCTCCATTCCATAGATATGTCACACTTCTTACTTGTGACACAATATAGCGGGCATCCCCATCCCTTCCCATATGGTTAAGTTATGCCAATCATGTTTGGGCTTGTTTAGAAGATGGTGCTTGTTTCATTCTATATATAATAAAAATGAAGCTTTATTATTATTCTGTGGATACATATTAATATTTATTTTGGATATGATACTTGAACACAAGGCTAATGATCATTAACATATCAAAGAAATTAACTCATCAATTAAGAGGCAGAGGTCATATGACTGAAGTCAGCTAGTTTACATCGGAACTAGACATTAAGGCATCTCCAGTGTAGAATCTCACACCCTGCAGCTACCTTTGATTAATCAAAGGATCCATCCATGGCAAACCATCTGCCCCCCTTCACATTCCTGTACCATTTACATCATCCCTTCTGTCAGATATAGAGATATCGCTGCCCTGAAGAACTTGACTAAATAAGTCTGGCTATATGTATGGTAGGCAATATTTGTATAAATAAAACAAGACCACACAATAACCACAGACAATGTTTAATTACTTTTCAATGTGCTTGACTGTGGTGTTTATTCAATGCTCAAGTGGCTTACAACCATAATTTCGTAACCATAACCATGTAACATAAACTTTAACCTTTCAAAACTTTTAACTTTATTAACCACCAAATAGCCAGTCAGTCATAACTAAACTGACAGACCTTTATTTAAATCTTTTAACTTTATTAACCACCATATGGCCAGTCAGTCATAACTAGCCTGACTGCCTTTTATTTAAAACCATTTGCCACCATATCCTTCCTCAGATCTTGACCCTGAGGATGAGTTTTGCCCCACTGCTTGATAACACTATGACAATACAGTTAAAGAGATGGTGAGGTCTGTCCGCTCTTTGTTCAGTCCACTCTGACGGGATTAAACTTGTCCTGCTGCTTTTTATACTGTCCCAGTTTCCCGCTCTTTTACTGCTTGCGACCTTCAACCAATCCCAGGCCAGCTTCAGTCCCCAGCAACAGCTGTGTCATCAATTCTGCCCAGATACCTGTCTAACAGACCAACTGCCACAAGATGTAAAACTTCCTCACATTCAAATTCCAGCCAAAACAGATTAACTCCTTCATTGCCACCATACATATATACAGATTAACTCCTTCATTGCCACCATACATATATACCACAGTGCTTAGTGCCCGTGGCTTCTTTTTTTGTAAAAGATTTGCAATACTTTAATCTAATCTACTCTATTTTAGTCATATCTTTAAGTGTTTGATTTATTTCAATTATATTATACAGAGGAGTTATTTGAGATGTCTCCATTTTTTTTAAGTTGGTTATGGTTTAGTAAATAAATCCCCAGTTTGTAAGCTTTTACAAGCAAGGCCCTCTTCCATAGCACCATTTTTTTATTATAATTTAAAATAAGAGTATATGTATTATAACCTTGGTGTGATATTTTTTTTTTGTAATGAATACGTATAAGTAAAAACACAATTTCAGTGTGTCTTCTCGCTTATTTACCCTTTGCTCTATACGGGCAGTTATCTTTAAATAAAATAAAAATGTTCAGGAAAAGAGGAACAAGTACAAGGTCACAAATCCTGACATCATGTGAAACGGCTAGATCACGCTAAGACCGTTTCAGAGCTACCAGTTGTGCATGGTCTTGGCATCTAAGTAGTATTTCTGACCAAAGAGGGGTAAGCTAGGAGACGTACTAAAAAGAGTTAATAAGTTATGAGTATTCATTACATATATACAACAAAGCTATCGTAAATGTAATTTATAAATAATTATTTTAATTTTTTTAATTCTTAAGCCTGAAATATCTTTGTCTTTACAGAAGAGGCCCTATTCCAAAGAAGGCAGTCACAGTAATGGTTCCATTGAAGGGGAAAAAAACACAGAAGAGACTGTGTGTTTGAAGAGATTTGAAGTACATCATTGTTTGACAGCTGTTTACGTTTTAACCAACGGCAAAGCTACAGGCAATACACGACATGATCTGTGTACGAGACTGGTGTTTGCCGAAATGAAGATACGTAAACAACATGATGAGTAATACAGAAAAAACAGCCTCAGTGGGATCAATTACACAATTCACAAAACCTAAAAATTCACGGACATACAAGAGCGCCATGTTTGTTTGATGAAGGCAAGCAACAAGACACTAACGTTGGTTTAATACTTTTTTTTTTTTTATATATAAACATGCCGTACAGAAAACACAGAGATCAGAAGAAACAAATGTACACAAATCTCTGTACTGATTTTTTTTAAAGATGCATCAACACTATTTAACTGTGTTTCTGCTTTTTTGTGTCCTAAATAATTCCTAAAAAGAACTTCGGAACAAAAACGACAAGAGCAGTTGGGAGAGCTTTGGAGACGAGTCTAGAAGTCTATGTGTGATATATTACAATGTACATTAAGAAAGGTAAATTTACAAACGAGGTCATGTTAAAGAGAAAAGGTAGTGTATGAAAAGGAAGAATAAAATCCGGTACATTTTGTCAACCAATGTCTTGGGAAATTTCAGTAAATCATCCATCACATCATCTGGTCTCGTAATCCAGTATGGCTGTGGAGAAATACCAAGAACTCATTATTTAATTAGCCATACCAACAAGAAATGTCAAGAATTAATTATGCGGCATTGTCAAGAAAATAAAATAAGACGACATACAGTAGATTGACACCAATGCAAATAGTTACCATAAATAACAACAATAATACCTGACACACACGACATCAGCTGTTTGTAATAATTTGATTTGTGTTGTTTGTCAAGGGTAATTGAAATAAGTCTTTTATATATATATATTCTTGGGTGTAAGGCTCGCCAGCTTAATGCACGTCTATATTAACCAAAAGTAATCATACGCAATCTGACGTTCTTTATTAAAAAAACGCGTTTATTTTACTTCAAAAGCAAACAATAATATACATAACAGATGGTATTTCTTAACGACGTTACAGAGAGAGATATATTCGTCTTTCTATCAGCAAGTCAGGGACACAGGAGAGGAGAGCGAAGAGCAGGAGAAGAGAACGTGGTCCTTTGTCCTCAGTTTTTTATAAGCAAAATTATGTCATAACTTTTAATTTAAACTCTGGCCATATAAGATAACTCCCCCTATAGCCCCCAATCTCCCTATACAGCACATTCCAGAGTCCTCATGGTACAGAATAGCAAACACCATCTGTTCTTTTTAACCCATTAGACATCATACCTTAATATGTATTTGTATAGGAACATATATAATATTCTACACTGTTCTTATCCATGTACAGGGTCCCAAATTATTTACATATCATTTGTTTAGTAACCCACAGAAACATATATGAAACTGTCACAACCTTAATACAATATAAAGCATTTCATTAGACTCACACCCATATCAAAACGGGTTTCTGGTGCAAAGAGGAAGAATTACTGTTACACTAATTTATTATTTTGGTGTGCGAAGTAAAAGAATTATGCATAGATATTTTAACAAGTGTACATACGGCAATAAAAAGGATGCGGATGTGCATTAAAATGTCGAGGATACTGCACGTTTTATCTTATAAGGTGAATGAGACAAGTGTGATTTAGGTCAGGAGCAAGAGATTCGACTAAGCATGTTAGCTAACTTCACTTGGAAAAAAAACCCACAAGGGTAAAGAGTCAGGCTAGGTCACATAGCTATAAGAAATAAAAAAACAGAGTAAGTTCCCTAGGAGTTGTCCAAAACACTTCTCTACTCCGAAACAGTCAGGCATCCCCCGTTACACTAATTTATGCAGTTTATTATAGGCTTCTGTAAGGTAATTTAAACCTTTTTCTCCCAACAATATGTAGAGATGAGCTAACACATGTTTGCATGTGCAAAGCACAATGTAACCCATAAAGACCCAATCCCACCCCATTGTTCTATATCTAGTACAGGCTGGTGTAACTGTACCTACACATCCATACATTCATGTTCCATTCTATTGTTTTTTTATTAGGAAGCTGCATTCACAGAAATACCATCAGAAAATCATCTCAAATCCTAGTGTTGCTAAATTATAAACATAATTTTCTTATGGCATCAAGGCTCCCAGAGGTTTCAGTGGTTTAGGGTTACCTTAAACATTGTTACTAGAGAGTTAATATACTGACTGGTATTTCTGTTTCCCAATATACACATTGGTATGTGGAATTGAAAGTGTTTTATCATTCACTTCATCTTTTTCAACACTTCTGTTTCCGGATCTCACGCAGCAAGAAAAATCCCCCTGACCCTTGGGTCACATACTGTAAAAGTGGTTGAGTAATAAAACGGTTCTCTTGTACGGGTGTACAAGCATAAAGACAAGATGCCAAGGATATGTAACTATTATTGAAGTGTCTGATTGTGCTGTAATAAATGCTGAACTCCAAGAAGTGATCAGCTGTATTTCTGAATATTTCTGTTCACTCCTTTGTTTTTGCCCAACTTCATAACTGAATCTTCTGGACCCCTAACCATCTTCTTGCTGAATCTCTACCACTACCTTTGACCCTCTATATCGCCTCAGTAACCAAATCCGTGCCTCAACCTTGCTAGACTCCACCAAAATTTCCTCCACATTTTGAGGGTGTTCCTACACAGGTGCCTACCTACATGCGCCTCTGTTTTCTGATTAACCACTAGATCCATGGTGACATCCTCAGTGTCCCCCCAATCTTAAATCGTCTTCCTATTTGTCCTGTATTCAAAAGCAACTCAAGCAGGGTTATTTACGCCTTTGTATAGTCATAAGAACAAAAGTTGTTAAATATTTGAAATTTGTTCCCAAGCTTCAATCAGCTGTTATCAAAAATGTGGTCTATGAAATAATTAAAGAACACTCCCAACACTACAGCTACTACAGCTCACCAGGAGCTCTTTGGCTGTGAGCAACAAGTTTGAGAATATAAGCCAATGGTGTCGAAATTAGACGTCAGAAAGGAGTCCAGGTACTGTACGTGTTCAAAGGCTTGGAGAGATCAACAATTCCAATGAACTAGCAATATAGGAGTGAGATTGCTACAAAATAACAGCATTTTTCTTCGAACTAGGTGGTCTGTTAAACCCATCCCGCACCCACAGGGTTGAAGATATGATTTATGGAGTGGTTGTGGTTATGGTTTATTGAGAAAAGATGGCCATTATTCTTTACATTAAATGAATAATATCACTGTAGCACCAGTGCACCTACTAACTCATCCCATCTTCCATTTTCTTTCTCATACTACATTCTGTTGTTAGTCATCTTCTTGGCAGTGTTATTCTTAGTTAAATAACTCCCCAAGTGACTGAATCCACCCTTGTATTTTTATTATTTTATGTTTCCACTTTTGAGTTGAACATTTGGCTTTTATTGTAAACATAACATTTAAATAAATATTGGATTAAAATAAAATAAAGACAGTCCAGGTGGTGTAGTAGTGTACACTCCTTTTTGCAAGCCGATCCAAAGTTCTAGGTGGGCTGTACAGACCTTGCTAATGTCAATCACAAATACACACATTCATGGACATCAATACAGACATTTATAATCTTAGAACTCAAAATGATCCTTGTGCTAGGTTCAGCCACAATTTTACGATATTAAATAGCAGAAACACCAATCACATTCATCTGTTATCAACGCCAGAGCAGCTGAACTTTGATGACAAACTTCTAGCTTAGATGGAAGCCAAGTTTGCCCCCTGCAGGGCCATCGTGGATTGTCAATAGGAATTCCAAGTGAGCTCATCCAAGAGTACAAGTAAACTTTGGCAGGTCAATTAAAGCCATTACAAATATAGGACTTAGATCACTCCCTTCAAGGCGCACTCACATACTCTGTGTCTGTCGCATTGTGACTGGTTTTAGCAATAACTTGCATCTTCAAAGAATAATGAATTATTAAACATTTTTCACCTGTATCTCATTATGCTTCCAATACATCACTGATTGCACTCTTACCGATAGACACTTTTAGAAACACTCAGTCACAGATACAGTCGGACACTTACAAAATCTTTCACACACACATTTAGTCAGTCTTGTACACAAATACTCACAATGTCACAGAAACACAGTCACACTGTAGTTGAAAAGCACATTAATGCGATTTTGACACTTTTGGGGTTTTTGCATTTTTTTGCAAAGAAATTTCATTGTGGAGTGTCTGCTTCCATTGAAACCTCTGTCTTCAGTGCCATCATGTTTCTCTTCAGCTCCTGGTGGCTCCACTTGTCAGAAGCTGGAATCATTCATGCATTTTGATGAATGGACACAATTACAGAACAGGTTGATCAACGATTCCAGCAGTTTGCTGATTAGAAGTGAAGGCAATGACTGTCCCTTAAAGGGACGCTTCAATCCCCTGAAAGCTTAAATGCATGGTGCCTTGTCCAAATGCATAAAAGTGTCAATTTCAAGAGATATGAATTGATTATGGACACATTTCAAGTTGACAGAGAACAGGAAAAATCTAGACACTCAAGGAATTCAAATCATGGCAGGATTTATTGGATCAACAAAGCAAAGGTTTGACCTGGTAAGAGGTCTTAATCAAGCAGGTCGAAATGTTGCTTTGTTGATCCAATAAATCCTGCCTGTGGCTTGAATTCCGTGAGTGCCTCGAGATTTTTCCTGTTCTCTGTTATTACATATAGTTACATAGTTACATAGCTGAAAAGAGATTTGCGTCCATCAAGTTCAGCCTTCCTCACATATGTTTTTGCTGTTGATCCAAAAGAAGGTTATACGTATTCTGGATTTGCTAGTCCAGATTCAGTGCAACTGGGATTGAGTGGAATTGGGAGCGGTTCCTATGATTTATTTTAAAATTCAAGTTGACACCCAGGAGGGTTTCCTGATTCACTCTGCTTGAACAATTGTTCAAGAAGAAGTGAAGAGCTTTCATGGGGCATTGCTGTTTTTGCCAGGACAAGAAGGGGAGACTGTCGAAGTTGAGCAGCGGTAAGAGGGGACTTGCCAATGGAGAAAGAGTCACTAACAGTGTTGAAGGAACGTTCCAAACATTAAAACCAAGTGTTGATTCCTTTGACAATAATGAATTGGCTGTTCCACTCGTCGGTTCATGGAGTCTTGGCACCGCACACTCCACATTTCAGTAAGAGGCATTGACGGGGAAAGGAGGGGAGGGAAACCTGGGCAGTTAACCCCAGATGTTCTATAGACACAATTTAATTATTGGCCCTGGATCTCCTCACTGTCCCTGGCATTGCTAAGCGGCAGAACCAACAGCATTGCAGCTTCGATGGACTTTTAACTAACTGCATGGCTGCAACTTGCCTGACATAACCCTCCTATGGCTGGTTCCTGAGCAAACAGCGAATCATGAATCTGTGTATGCCCTGGCCTTGTGTCTACAGCATCCTAATGCACATGATGGGCATTAGCTGGCTGTGGAGGAGGAGCACGGCTTGGGTGTGAAGGAGAAAGGGAAGCCTGTCCTGGGAGTGCATGTCAACTAGAAGGCAGCTAAGTGATTTTACTGTAGTGACTTTCTTTTAATTCACCAAATCTCAACTAAAGATCTAGATAGCCTCATCCTCTTCCATAGGGAACACTCAGAGTCAGAAAGGTATGATTATGAAAGGGAGGGGGAGCAATAGGTCTCAGCAGAAATGGGGATGCGGAGAAGCATTGAGGGTAAGAAGGAGCACTTGGGGAGTATGACAATAAGAAGCAACGGGGGTTAAAGGGAGCAGTAGGGTAGTGAGAAAGTAGAAAGAGAGACATGGGGGAACGAGAAGAAGAACTTGAATGGAGAGAAGGAGAAGCATAGAAAGTGAGAAAGAGTAGTTAGTAGTGGAGACAAGAAGAGAAGGTTGCCTGGAAGGGGTGTAGCCTGTAGTCTGTCCCCCAGGGGGATGTATTCTAGTCTGGAGAGTGTGTGTAGGGGGCTAACGATCCCACTGAAAAAGGTAGTGTTTTATGTGGTATCTTGTTAAGGGTCAATGGGGGGGGGGGAGATAAGGGCGTTTGGGGAGGTTCGCCATCATAACTGGGAAGAGTGCCTGTCAGGCATAGTTAAAGCCCATTTACCCGCCCGAAGCTATAGGTCATAATAACCATGAACATAAAGCAAAAACTGTTAAGTCCTGTGCGGTTTGAAACATAAAGCAAAAACTGTGAAGAGCATATAGCAAGAACTGTTAAGTCCTGTGCGGTTTGTAGTCCGCTGGGAGGTTTTCAGTGCCCCGGCTTAGATGCAGGATTCCCTCTGTGGGCCGCTGGTATGAATGGTGTGACCCTCTCTGGGTCCCAGAGTGTCGGTGCCGCTTGGGTCGCGGTCTCAGCGGCTGTCGCGTCACTCCCATTTGTAGCAGGATGCTCGGTATTTCAGAGGCCTCCCGGACTTTCACTATTCCCGTTTCCCGGGTAATGAGTAGGCAGCGAGGTGAACCCCATTTGTATGGTGTTTTGCTTGCCGCTAGCGCCTGAGTGAGTGGACGCAGGGATCTGCGCCATTCCATGGTGGCCTTAGATAAGTCCGGATAGAAGGTGAGATCGTGATCCTCAAATCGTAATGGTGTTATGTGGCGGACTGCCGCCATAAAGGCTGTGCGGTCTTGCCCCTGTTGGAACCGGAGGATTATGTCTCTAGTTGGCCGTTGTATTCCTGTAGCGGGTCCCGTTATACGGTGCCATCCGGCTAGTGTCATAGCCTTGGCTTGTTTGGCGGAGAAAAGCTTAGTGAGCAGTGGCATTGGGGGTGAAAAAGGAGAAGCAGGGGTGAGAGGGAGCAGTGGAATTGGGGATAAAAAGGGATGGTGAGGGTGAAAAGAGCAGTGGGGGTGAGGAGCATTGAGTGGACAAGAGAGCAAGAAGAGAGCTCAGGGGGTGATAAAGAAGACAGAAATTAAGGGGAGACAAAGAGAAGCATCGAGGGTCAGTAGGAGCAGTGGGGAGGATGAGAAGAAGCAGTGGGTGTGAGGATCATTGAGGGGCAAAGGTAAAGTGAAGGGGGAAAGTAAAAAGAGAACTCTGGGGGTGAAAAAGGGGTTTTAGTAGTGATCCTATAGCTGTGCAATGGCTGAAGCCCTAGGTAATTTTGTGACGTAGCAACGCCTTCTGCCAACTTGTGTAATTGATAAAATACCTAAGAACAGCTGGTTTAAAATAAAGAAAGTATTAAATATTGAAAAAAAGTTCCAAGCTATTTAGAGTAAAACATTGTGGAAAACCAATTAGAAGATTTAAATCTTAATGATTGGAAAAAAGTGGGGATTTTACAGCTGGAACAATTATTGACAGAAGGAATAACTAAAAGTTTTGTTCAAATAACACGTGAATATAGTCTTCCATCTAAAGAATTGTTAAATTTTTTGAGACTTAAAAGTTATATGACTACCCACCTAATTACATCAAAATCCAATCCAAAAATTTGATTGATTCATTATTTACCTCAAAAAGAATAAATAAACCACTTTCTAAAGCTTTAATATTGAGCAAAGCAAGTGTCAAAGATATAATTCCAACAGCTATATCTATTTGGAAAGTAGATCTAAATATTGATATAAATTTGAAACAATGGGGTTCTTCAATGACGGATGTTATGAAGACTATACACTCGTTAAATTTGTTGGAAACTCACTTCAAAGTTCTAAATAGATGGTACTTAGTACCGGATAAGTTAAATAAAATATATCCTTCAATAAATCCTGTATGTTGGAGATGTGGGTTTGCAAGGGGTAATTTTGGACATATATGGTGGGATTGTCATAAACTGTCATAAACTGAGAAATCTTTGGTTGGAAACACAAAAGTTTATATCTGTAGATCTGAAACTCGAGTTGAGAATTTCCCCAGAGGTTGTTTTGTTACATCTAAATTGGCAACCTATGTCGTATGAATCAAAATCAATTCTTATACACCTTTTTTTTGGCTGTTAAAATAGTTGTTGCCTTCAGCAGTGGATGGAGAAGGTGGAGGAGATACACGGGATGGAGACACTCACGGCGTCCCTGAGAGGCACCATGGAGCGCTACCTGCAGACGTGGGCGCCGTGGATCGACTTCATAGCTCGAAGGGGGAACTAGGACCGCGTCCCGAGATGTCTGGTGGGGGGGGCCGGGGAGGGGATAGCTCCTCAACGCGCCTTGCCACCGGGTGCGACCATGGCGGACTCGGCCGATCGTGGGGCCGGAGCCACTCTCGGTTTGCAGCAGATATAACACCCTCAGAGCCAGTAAATCCGCAAAGCGGGCAGTAGGCCTCGGTGCCGGATGGCTGCACCTGCGCAGAAGCAAGGAACGTGGGGGCTCGGGAGGCCCCGCGCCGAGTGCTAGGTTACCGAGAAGGAGAGTGTGGGACACACAAGGACACCTCTAGTGGCACGTAACTGGAACCTAGATAGAGCGAGGAGAGACACGATGTGTCTTGACGTACCACGGACTGAGACCAGACTGACCGAAGACTTTGAGGGAGCGCACTCGGGGGGGGAAGGGGATGGGGGGGAGCGGCGGAAGCTGTGGACTGACCAGGACAAGCCCGGACGGTAGATTCTGGAGACCGGGTGCTTGAGAGGAGATGAACACTAGGGGGACTGGACTCCTACAGTCTGGCCAGACACACGGGCTTAACTCGATAGAGCTCGCAGACCGAGAGACGCCATACACCCAAGAGCTGGACTGGAAGCTGTAGGTGTCTCCGAGCCCACACGGAGGGAGGCAGGACCAGACACCGTGTTTCCCGGAGTGCAATAGCAGACTGTGGGGCATATCCCTGCTTACAGAGACAGCTTGGAGGGGACAAATGAATAGGGAGGGACGATACAGAGGTCAAGTTAAACTGTAGGCACATGTTGTAGAGCTGTTGTTGAGAAGTACGTTGTGGGTACATGCGTATGGGTGCGAAAAGCTCCATCGGACTCAGCCCTACTGAATCCTCATACTGGGTAGTTGTGACTGTCGTACACGGTCCTGACTCTTGGACATGAAAGAGGCAGAAAACTACGGCCGCGCTATCATATACACAGACCCGCTACCCGGGAGGGGTGAGGGAGGGGGACAGGGGGGAGAGGTGACCGAGGGGGGCGAACCACACGTATGCTATGCACAACACTGAGACACCCGAAAGAAGCTAAGCACACGTAGTGAGTGTGAGTAGGGGGAACCCGTTAGGGGCACGAAAGGGTGCTGAAGTTGAGACAAATGTCTGTAGCGCTTATGTGTGGGGGCACCTACCAACGATGGTCGATGATCCTGAACTGGATGCTGTGAACTTTACATGGTAGCGTATTTTTGCCCATGCCCTGGGGGGAATACATTGTTGGAGAGGGTGGAGAGGAATGTTCAACATACCTGAATTTTTTCGTTGTTTCCTGAAAACTAACGGTTTACTGTCTGTAATGCATACTGTGTTGGAAAATATTCTAATAAACACCAATTGATCTAAAAATAGTTGTTGCAAGATGGTAGAAAAAAGATCTAGACGTCCCCTGGAAGAAAGTAAAAAATCAGCTTGAGTTTCAGATAAAAAATAGAGCTGATGTTGAGTAAACAAAAATTAAGTAAAAAATTATCTGTCTGGTTGAAATGCTCGGAATTAATTAATAGAGGAAATATGAGATAAGTAAATATGAGATAGTTAGCTAAATTGTATATACCTTGGACATTGGTAATTTTTGAGCTATACTCAGAGCTCCTCCTACCCTACTAAGGAAAATTTTCTAAATTTCCAATTATGTTGCAATGTTGTGTATTGTATTATATTGTAAATTCGTATGGTGTATTATTAGCAATGTAATATATTATATTGTATTTTCTGTATATGTCTTTAACTTCCATGTAAAAAATTTATATGAATCGCATATTGATTATGTTATATCTATAGAAGTATAAATTAATGGAAGTATTGTTATTTGTAAAATGTTCAAATAAAAAAATAAATAAAAAAAATAACTAAGAACAATAACCAATGCATTCTATGTTCATGGATTAGTATCAGAATGCAATTATTGTAGTTTAAAGGGGCATTACTGTGAATCTCTGCTACAAATTCATACATTTATAAAATGCAGAGTTTTAGTTAGTAATAAGGAATCTAGGCATTTGGAACCAAAGTAGGGACTGCCCTCCTAAAAAAACAAGTCACTTGGCAGGTATGCTCAGAATTGAAATGTGACCATTCCTGTATGCTACCCTCCCATACAGCTGCTCTTATTTGCTTTCAGTTTCGTTTATCAGCCCAGAGGAGCCATGGCTGGGAGAGAATACTTGCTGCTCAGACTGCAGCCCAGTGACCTGACCTGTGTTATCTGCCATGATTACTATAAGCACCCCACCACCCTGCCATGTGGGCACACCTTCTGCAAAGTCTGCCTTGAGAAATTCTGGAATAATAAAAACAGCTTCAAATGCTCAGTGTGCCAGGCTATCTTCCGTGAAAAGCCAGACTTTAAGAAGAACACGTGTTTGGCCTCCATCCTGGATTCCCTGGAAGCCCAGAACAGCACCAGCCACCAGGACTGTACCTCCTGCACTGGACCTGGGGCAGTCAACCTATGTCTGCCCTGTATGACTCCCCTGTGCAGAGACCATGTGTTACTGCACAGCGAAGACACGCCTCAACAGCGACATCTGCTGGTGAACCTGCTAACTGACGATTCGACCTGGCTATGCAGGAACCACGAGCAAGGGCTGAAGTATTTCTGTTTGACTCATGGCTCCCCCCTGTGTCCAAACTGCATAGACCAACATGAAGCTTGCAAATCCGCTCTCCTTATTCAACTGTACATAGAAAACAAGGCGAGTAGTATGAAAACTCCTCGAGGCTTTGTATAAAACATCTGCCCTGGGTTAGCATGACTATTCCATCGTCTTTCACAGCGACTAGTCCTTTTTAAGACTTTGCCTTAGAAGCATAATTCTAAACTCCACGAAAACTCTTGGTCTTCTTAACTCATTCCAAGTCTTGATCCTAGTAACTCAATCCAACCCATGTTCTTCTAAGGGCACTCAACCCTCACTCTTCCCAACTTCATCCAACTCTTACTCGTCCCAAGTCCATCCAATTCTCAGTTCTCCTCACTCTGTCCTGAGTTAGCATGACTATTCCATCGTCTTTCACAGCGACTAGTCCTTTTTTAAGACTTTGTCCTAGAACCATAATTCTAAACTCCATGCAAACTCTTGGTCTTCCTAACTCATTCCAAGTCTTGATCCTAGTAACTAAATCAAACCCATGTTCTTCTAAGGGCACTCAACCCTCACTCTTCCCAACTTCATTCAACTCTTACTCGTCCCAAGTCCATTCAATTCTCAGTTCTCCTCACTCTGTCCTGGGTTAGCATGACTATTCCATTGTCTTTCACAGCGACTAGTCCTTTTTTAAGACTTTGCCCTAGAACCATAATTCTAAACTCCATGCAAACTCTTATTCGTCCCAACTCTATCCAATTCTCAGTTCTCCTCACTCAATCGAACCATTCCTCCTTCTAACTCCTTTCAATATTTACATCTCTTAACTCCATCCAACATTTCCTCCTCCAGTCTCCGACCAACCACTTCTCCTACTAACTCAATCCCAATATTAATTTGTTTTAACTCAACCCCAATCCTCGCTCATAACTCTGTCCAGCCTTTACCTGAAAGACCATCAATAAGACAAAATACTGGAAAATATATTATCTGTATACACACACTCTTAGATTCTCTGCCCAATAAGCGGTTTATTGAATAATCTTTACATTTGCTTTAAGGATAAGATTCAGAAGATGATTGGTGAATTGAGTAAGGATATCACATGTAGAGAAAAGGACGTGACCATTTTGAAGAATACTTATCAAGAGATCCAGGCAAGTGTGATACAGGCTTTCAAATGATGGGATTTGTGACAAGGATCACATAGCATAGCTCTCCCCCGCTGTTTTAAAACCAATCTTTTCATGCCAGGAGAAAGTCTAGCAAAGCATCATGGGAGGTCTAAAAATCTGGCCATTTCTTTACTATAATGTATGGGATGCATGACAGTGGTGATGGTAACAAAATGTTATGGTATTGCAGGATATGGAACAAAGGAAAACATGATAAATTCTATAATTCTACAAATACCTACATACACAGGGGAAATGCATTATGGGTAGAAATGGTGATCGTAATCCATCTTTGCATATTTATGGTGTTAATCTTCATTTTACTCTTGTTATTTGTATTTTCAGATATTAGTTTGTGACATCAAAGACAACCTCACCAGGGACTTCAGAGAGATGCGAGATTATATAGAAAAACAGGAGAGAGCATCATTTTGGAGAATAAAACAGGAACAGGAAGCAGCACAGAGGAAAATGCTTGAAGGGATTACCCCAACAAACGCAAAGATTGACAGGCTGAAGGAGATAAAAGCACAGCTTGAAAACACAATAAACAATGACTGGATACAGGTGCTCATGGGAGGTCTGAATGGCTTATGGGTAGGTAGCAGCTAAGTATGAATACCTCATATTAAGTTATGTTCCCTTAAAATCTTTGATGTTCAAAAACAAATCAATGGAAAGCAGATATTCTTCTAATGTTCAATGTTGTTATAGTGGGACATCAAGGCACCCAGAATTTGGACAGTTCCATGAGCTCCATAATAGATTTTATTTAGGTTGTATATTCTCCTCATCAGTTGGATGTTCTACTTGGCATGTATAAGCTTGGGGTCATTCTGGTGTTTTACAGAGATTGGGCTTTCTGTGTAGACCACCATGCTGAGATCTTGCTCTGTGTCAGGAGACAGGTACATTTTGTGTTGGTGGTAGTGTGAGATCTTGACTTACCTCGAGATGAGCTTTCTTATTCTCAGGGCCCATAATGATAACATAGCTTCTGCCTATGCATTTCTTTGCTTCAGTAATATTTGGCGTGATATATTGTCTCGATTATTTTCTACAATGTAGTCATGCAATTTATTTTCTACTGGCTATCATGTCTTGGGGTATGTTGATGTGTGTTCAAAGCGTGACAGATTTTTTTAAATTTTTGAGGTTTTTTTTTTAAATTTTTGAGGGCTACGGGTCATTGTAATCATGGCATGGTCTAAATACATGGTCCGTGTATGGAAGTAATTACTAGTGGGGTAAAAATAACATACGTACTTTCAAGTAGAATTGGTGGGAGTGTGACAAATAGGAGTAGTCTCGCGTAGACGGGTGGTGTATACTCTAGCAGTCCATGAGCTGAGTGTAAGTGGGAACAGAATCTGTGTCTAACATAGTTATTTACTAAGGTGAGTATTCAAGGTGATTTCAAATTTAGGGTCAAAATAGCCGGATTGCAAAAGTTCAGCTACTTTGGCCTGAAGTTTGAAATTCTTATTGAATTCACTTTTAATTTTCACATTTTGTGTTTTGCCTACCTGAGCAAAGATCCAGAAGTGTTACCTATGCAGTGGTCTAAAGGGAGTTCTCAATCTACTTCTACTATCAGTATCCCCCCATGAAAACTTCAGCGAAGGGATCGTAGTTTTAATAATTAACTTTTCTATTTTTACCAGGACGCAGCAAAAGACACCACCATCTACAACCCATCTCCTGTTATTACCTCTGGTAGTATGTTTAATGAAAACAAGATCGTAGATACTACATCTGCAATATCACAAATTAAAGAGAGCCTTATGGCGCACCCTCTGCTAGAGCAGATTCCATGTCCTCCTAAACAAGGTCAGTACATTACAAAAACAAAATGTATGATGTAAAGAAATTAAGCAGAAGGATTTGTCTACACTTGCCATTAACGAAAACTAGATAGGAGCCTAAAATGAAGCAATGCGCTGTACTTCCCATTTTAGAAAACACCCAGAATCCCTGGCTGCAGGGGCAGCTCTGTATACTGTGTGATTATGGGGTACGGTAGGTTATTACCCAGAATCCCTGGCTGCAGGGGCAGTTCTGTATACTGTGTGATTATGGGGTAAGGCGGGTTATTACCCAGAATCCCTGGCTGCAGGGGGAGCTCTGTATACCGTGTGATTATGGGGTAAGGTAGGTTATTACCCAGAATCCCTGGCTGCAGGGGGCGCTCTGTATACTGTGTGATTATGGGGTAAGGTAGGTTATTACCCAGAATCCCTGGCTGCAGGGGAGCTCTGTATACTGTGTGATTATGGGGTAAGGCGGGTTATTACCCAGAATCCCTGGCTGCAGGGGAAGCTCTGTATACTGTGTGATTATGGGGTAAGGCGGGTTATTACCCAGAATCCCTGGCTGCAGGGGGAGCTCTGTATACTGTGTGATTATGGGGTAAGGCGGGTTATTACCCAGAATCCCTGGCTGCAGGGGAGCTCTGTATACTGTGTGATTATGGGGTAAGGCGGGTTATTACCCAGAATCCCTGGCTGCAGGGGGAGCTCTGTATACTGTGTGATTATGGGGTAAGGCGGGTTATTACCCAAAATCCCTGGCTGCAGGGGAGCTCTGTATACTGTGTGATTATGGGGTAAGGCGGGTTATTACCCAGAATCCCTGGCTGCAGGGGGAGCTCTGTATGCTGTGTGATTATGGGGTAAGGCGGGTTATTACCCAGAATCCCTGGCTGCAGGGGGAGCTCTGTATACTGTGTGATTATGGGGTAAGGCGGGTTATTACCCAGAATCCCTGGCTGCAGGGGGAGCTCTGTATACTGTGTGATTATGGGGTAAAGCAGGTTATTACCCAGAATCCCTGGCTGCAGGGGAAGCTCTGTATACTGTGTGATTATGGGGTAAGGTAGGTTATTACCCAGAATCCCTGGCTGCAGGGGAGCTCTGTATACTGTGTGATTATGGGGTAAGGCCAGTTATTACCCAGAATCCCTGGCTGCAGGGGGAGCTCTGTATACTGTGTGATTATGGGGTAAGGTAGGTTATTACCCAGAATCCCTGGCTGCAGTGGGAGCTCTGTATACTGTGTGATTATGGGGTAAGGCGGGTTATTACCCAGAATCCCTGGCTGCAGGGGGAGCTCTGTATACTGTGTGATTATGGGGTAAGGCGGGTTATTACCCAGAATCCCTGGCTGCAGGGGAAGCGAGTTTAACGTATGAATATAATGATAAATATGTCTCCTTTATTATTCTGTAAATAGTTTTAGCAAATCTTTTTACATCATATCTCACTCGTGAACCATGGTTTGATATTGTTAATTTGACCTGCTCTTTTCTTGCAGTGTTTGAAGATACAGTTGACATAGAGAGTGTGCCATCTACCTCTGCCTCTACTGCTGCTGTGTCCCAAACAGTTAGATCTACAGAAAGAAACCAGAATCCATTTTTGAAGTGTAAGTAACGTAGGTAATCTGCAGCAGAGAAATATATTACAGAAAAACACATTTTTCATACGGACCCACAGCACTATCACCCAGCCTTCAATGGTAAATTAGCTCGGTCATTACTCTTCCATTGCATTGTTTAATTTATGCCTACACCAGGCTGTCAGCAGTAAAGTCAGAAGGGGTTTCCCTTTCACTGCTGAAATCATAAATAAATTTATTGTGGGCAGAGGTCTGGGGATTGTACTTTTTCCATGGTTGTTTGATGCAATGCATATTTCTTCATCAACAGACGCTGGCATTGCATGACGTTAAAGGAATACATCTATTTTATTTCCATTTCACACGTTGTTCTAGATCAGGCTTCCCCAAAGTCCGGCCCTCCAGATGTTGCTGAACTACAACTCCCATGATTCTCTGCCTATCTATTTCATTCATAGAATCATGGGAGTTGTAGTTCAGCAACATCTGGAGGGCCGGACTTTGGGGAAGTCTGTTCTAGATATTAGACTTGTGCAAAAAGTTCCGGGCAGCCCATACGGACAATATGCCTTTTAATCCATTGAGGGGTGAAGGAATCGATCCGTCGTTGATTGCGAAATCTTACAGGGATATTTACTAAAAATGGGAATTCAAAGTGAATTTCAAATTCGGGCCAGAGTAGTCGAACTGAAAGATTAGCTGGCTAAGAGAATTTTTCCTGTCTGACTATTTTGAATTTGAAATAATTTGGAATTCTCTCTGAATTTACTTAGAATTTTCACTTTAGTGAATAATGCTGTTATGCTCCGTAGGTAAATCTTGGAGGCATCGAGTAGTCTGTATATGGTTTAAAAGGCATTTTATTTGACAAGGCGGCCGTAACAAATTTGTGTACAGGCTTGGTGGATATGTGCGTTCTGCGTCACTGTCTCTTTAACATAATATGTTTCTTGTTTTCTAGGGGCATGCAACATATCGTTTGATCCACAAACGCTGAACAAGCGCTTATTTCTGTCACCCGATTTTAAGACAGTCACAGTGTCAAATAAAACATTTCTGTACCCCAATAACCCCAGGAGATTCTCCCCTTGTCAGGTTCTGTGCTCTGAAGGTTTCTCCACTAAGTGCTGGTATTGGGAGATCAATACTGAATCTAGCAATGGCTGGGCCATTGGACTAGCATGTGGAGAGATTTGCAATAATGACCAACTTGGCCAGAATGACCTCTCCTGCTGTGTGGAATGGAGAAAGGAACGGCTATCAGCATGGCACAGGAAGGAAGATATCACCATCCATTTTATGAAACCAGGCATTGTCGGCACTTTCCTTAATTGTGAGGAGAAGACGGTTTCATTTTACTCAATTACTGATGGTTCCCAAGACTTGCTACATTCATTCAAAATACACTTCAAAACTGTGGTCTTTCCTGCAGTCTGGCTGTATGGTCTCAAAGAAGGGAACTCTTTAACTATAAATAACATAGCTAGGATTTAAATTGTCAGCGTCTTAGCTCTGAGTTTGCCACACACAGATACAGCTACCAGGGTTTGTTCACTAGACATGGAATTGTGAAAATTGATCAGAGATTTGCACATTTTAAGGCCAATACAGCTGAGATAGAAATATTCTCCAATTCAGATGTTTCTGTTTGGCTACATTTGGACCAGATTGTGAAAGCGGCATAAAATAATGAAATAGCGTTGGTTCTTAAAGACTTACTCCAAACACCATGACCACTTTAGTGAAATGAAGTGGTTATTGTTCCTGGAGTCTAAATGTGCAACATTACACTGTGAAATGCTGCACAAGGCGACTTTAAATCATTTGCTGTCAGAAATATAACTCCACCTTCAGCAGCTTCATGGGCGTCATCAACCAGTCCGGAAGAGTTCTTGCCTGGCTTATATCAATTCTGTGTCAGTGAATGAGCGGCAGGAACACCATCTGGCTTCTGCACTTTGGCAGTAGTCAGATGTATACCAACTTCCAGAGGAGACCTGGCCCCATGCAGAACCCAATGGCATGTATTGGTTATAATGATTTAGGTAACTCTTTAAAGGGACACGCCAGACCCATAAAGCACTTCAACTTGCTTGTGTGTCCTCTTTTTTCATTTTTCAAAAAATGCAGATTTCAATAGAAATTGACACTTTTATAAATTAACCTGGTTACATGCTCTGGCTGTCAGTCACACAACCGGTCCTGTATTTCCTGGTTTGGTTTGCTCAGTGGAGCTAAACTCAAGAGGCAGCAATTGCCCAGAGCACCTGCCTTGCAAAGACGTCTCATTGAGCTGCATTGGGAAGTCTGTGATTGGACAGACACAGAAAGTCTGGGCTTGGGAAAAGGAGAGGGCTTTCAAAGGCTGCAGACAAGAGATCTGCAGCTTTTGCAAGCTGTTTGTAAATATACACCCCCAAAAAACCCACATACTTACCTTTACATTGGGGATATATCTAAACTGTTTGTTTTATTTGGGCAGTAGATTGTCTCTTAAAATGGAGCAAGGTGTTTTGGGGTATTGTTTTGTTTTTTTGCAACCACAATTGTTTCTTCTAAACTGATTTCTTTCAGTTTGTACTATACTTTTATGTGGAACAATATAAAATGCTTTTAGAAAAACCCAAATAGAGACACAGAGTTCCAGAATAGATGGGATGGTTTCTACATTTAATTTTAGTTAGACCGCACAAAAACATATCCTCAGTAGTTTGAATTGATCTATCCTTTATAAAACCATATTGTATTCCACTGTTGATACCTTTAAATGTTTATTCCTAAACATAGTCTCTCTGATACTCTGAATTTACTTTTTTGAAAAAAAATAAATACATACATACAAAAAAATGGTTACTTACCAGGTTTTTTAATATTCTATTTACTTAGCCCCTGTATTT